ACTTCCGCCAGGGAAGTTGACGAGCTCGCGTCCACGGCCGACATAAACTACACGTCTCGTTGCGAGTGGCTGGTTGTATCGCATAATTACCACGCTTTACAGCGCTCTTTACACTTGTTTCCTCACCACTGGTATCTCCCTCGCATCGCCGTGTAACCGGAGATCGGCTGGTGAAAGAGAAAGAAAGACCGAGAGAATTGGCCGCGCACGCCGGTCCCTCGCGAGTATAAATCCGCGCGAACACTCGCGAGGTTCCAAGAGGCAAGCGGTTTTTATTCCGCTTGGCGCGCGTTCGAGACGGGCGTAGATAAAGACCTATCGGCAATATAGTATCAAGAGCGGCGTAAATAAGGATAATGCGGCGTGGCGAGGGTACACTTCCTGCTAGGCGTGTAGGTGTACTCGGTGTAAAAGGTAGATTAGATTGGCATTACCGCCGACACTAAACTAACTCCATGGTTATTAAAAGGCGACCGTAATGTCCCAGCCAATATCGGTGCTCGGTCCAACGCTTATCGCTCCGCGGATTCGCTATAATTACGTTGGGACGATTGCTCGCGAGGGATCGTGCGAAACGGGAAGAGTATTTCGTAGTGCGTGAAACCGCGGTGGATTTACGTTGACCGGATCTTTTTCCTTCGTAAATGAAGATCGTAGGGGAAAAATACGACGAAGCGTCGTATATCTTTTTAGCTATCTAAGTTTTTATAGAACATTTACGCAACAATTAATTTCTACGCAGCCGAAGAGATTGTCTTCTGCGTAGCACAGTTACGCGTTTCACATTCTATAAATTCGTAGATTTATCATCTTTTAAGAGTGTCGTAGCGTAACACTTGCTTTAAACCATCGAGCGAGCGAAGAGTCGGAAAATGAACAAAAATAGATTTATCATATTCTTGTGTGTGGTCTTTAAACGCTAATTAGGAAACTGATTTTTATGGATTTAAATCCCACGATCAGCAGAAGTTACGACTCGTGCGAAGTAATTTCTAAAATTGAGAGTCGTTACGAGGGGGGTATATTTTTCCTAAACAGTTGGTAAAAGCATGAAGAGCAGACGCGGAATAACTTCAAAGAACGTTTACGGTAATGTAGACGTCACTCTAAATGAAGATGAATTACGAATCGTACTCTTTCAATAGAAAAGTAGCAAAGTTCGTTCGAAACGAACCCACCAAGATAGATCTCGCTTGCGTTTTGCCACGACGAGGAAATTCCCAATTTCAATCTAATAGCGAACGCTCCTTCATTAATGGCTCTAGAACGAGTGTGCAAACACGTCTTCATCGTCGTTTACGTCTGCACTTTGAATTCAATTAGCGACTTCCATCGTTCAGGTAAATTAGTCTCCGCCAAAAGGTTCTGCGTGATCGATTCTCTATTTGAGATTTTCTTTAAACACTTGACTGTCTCTTCAGAGAGAAAAAACAACGTGTATAAGTACTTAGAAACGGGATTTCTTCCTTTTTCTAAGAAGTAAATTTCTACTATTACGGAAACAATATAATTTTTCGTATGTGGGTAACTTTTAAAGGCGTGAAATTTAAAAGAAAATTTCGAAGTAGAATTACTTGACGAGTATAAAAGAAGATTTAAAAAAAATTGCATCGACATTTTTTAGGCACATTGATCTTTATGGATTCCAGCCACGATATCTTACACCGAAATATTCATATACCTTACAAATAACGTGTCGCACACTCAAGTTCGCTGTTGATTATTGCATATTATAAACGAATTTAATTCGCCGATAAGTAGAGGAAAAATTTGTGCCTTATAACGTTTGCCGATTATATCCCGATCAATCTCTTCGTATACCAATAGACATTTTCGCAAATAAATTTCACGCGCAGTCCCTTAATTCGCCATCAAAGATCAATAGCCCTCGACGATCGCCTAACAAACTCTTCGAGTGTTATTTCAAAAAACTCGTCCGACCTAAAATCAACAACCTGCAACTTTCTGCGCCCCATCCTCCGAATCGATGCCGCGCTGTTATTACCTAACACCTCTCTCTACACCTATCCCTACCACATGACCCGAAATCAAAATTCCTCGGAGGTCTTCCCATCCTAATTTCCTTTTCGATCGTTTGGAAACCGGAAGGGAGCGCGATCGAAGACGATATCGCGGACGCGTTCTCATGCATTCCGGTAGGTCACGGTTAAGGATGGTGGACAGCTGGCCAAGACGGATCTCGCTGATCTCGTTGGAGATCGTCGAGTGTTTGTGAACGTCAAACCGCGTAGAGACAGCCACGCACGGGAATGGCGATAGACCTGGACGATGGTCGGGGTCCCTTTCTCGATTGTGCACGCCGCGTATGGGTCGAACGTCGCGAGAGGGGAAATCCAGAAGGGTCCACGAGAGAACAGAGTCTCCTCTTGGGATGTATGAAGCTATAAATCTTACGCGACAAATCGCTAGCTCGCTCGTTCGTTCTCAGGCTAATTGTTGGGACGCGGTCGAATACCGCGTGCAACGGCTGCTCTTCCTCCGCGAGACGTCCCTGAAGACGCTCCTCTTTCCACGTCCCCTGCGGCCCGGCATCGATGAGCGTACAATCGATTAATCGATTATCCGTTCTCCAGCCCCGTGGCATCGCGTTCCGCACCTGCATATCCCCTGTCCGACGACGTCCCATCGCGAGGATTATTCTGTCGCTCCGCTCATCAACCGTGATTTCATCCTCGGGTCTCAGCATGCCTTTCTTACACTTGCTCCATGGATTCACGCGATTTTCTCGTGCGTGGCGAGATTTGAAAATTCTAGTTTAATTAGAACGAAGGAGTTGCGAACGTGGTTAATAGAATCTGTTGGCGACGAGGTAATCGTATCGGGGAAGAATTATATCCGAGTATAAGGCGGCCATTTCGGAAGTTTCTTTTAAAACATCCTCGTTTTTCTTTTTCTTTTTACGTACACTTTTACTTGCTCGCATAAAGCGAGAGAAGATATCACAGAACTATTATTAAGGTTCGTTGATGCACAGTCGTTGCACCGAAGAAGAGTTATTTATCTAGGGTGGCTGTTTTGGAAACTTCTCTTGGAACTTAATTTTTCTTAATTTTTCTACGAATTAATCTTTATGTGTATAGATACAATTTATCTGGTATAGATAGGATACTCGATAAGTGATATCTTCACACTTCGGGCGCGTTTCCAACGTGCTCGATCTAACTATGATTTTGAGAATCTTGGTCAATCGATCCGTGCGATTGGTTATTCGTCTATCTCGATTCATTTTGCCTCCAACCGCTAAAATCAACTCCGTTAACAATGACGTTAATTCACAACCTGTGTACGGAAGTCTGGCTGGCAGCGTGTCGCTGCGCTCGCGGACGAATGACGAACGCGCGAAGTAGCAACGGAAGAGAAATCCGGGCGTCCATTCCGTCTGCGAGGAAACTTTCTCGGCTAGCGTAAACAACGTTATCGTTGTAACACGCGATAAGGTCGACTGCGGGTCACGATCCGTGGGCGTGCAGGTGCGGCGTGTTTTCCAACGTTCAGAAACGCAACCTGCTCGTCGATCGTAAACGAATAAACAGGTGCGTCCAGTAGGAAAATCACGGCCACGGCGATAAAACCAGTCACCTGCCACGCGAATCGTTTAGCATCGATCGTAGAACAATGCGCCGGTCTTCGCGATGGAAAGCAGCGAACGAATGTTCCGTGACTCTCGATTTACTCGCGAGACGTTTCCACGTTTCTCCAGAGTATAGAAAGTGGACACTGTTTTGTTCCGGGAAATCTAGGAACTTTGAAAATTTCTTTTCTCGTTGTATCGGGAAACGTGGATTTCGATCGAACCTGGTGGAAGATTGCGAAACGCGGTGCAATAAGGGGTGCAGAAGCGTTTCGTCGTGTCGTGTCACGCATGTAACATGGAAAGTGGAATCAATGGTAGTTGAGACTTTTGGATAATTTTGAATGTTTAGATCAAACGAGAGGGAATTTTAGAATTGTACAGAGATATATCGAACTACACGAATATCGATTCGAAGTTTGTCCGATAGTCTTAGATGCTTGGATTAAGCGAAAAAAGAAAATTGGAGGTCTATAAAATTGTTATATTTCTTCGAAAGCTTCATAGTTTCAAATACGTAAATCGAATGAAAAAG